TAAACCCTAAACCCTGACCCTAAACCCTAAACCCTGACCCTAAACCCTGACCCTAAACCCTAACCCTAAACCCTAAACCCTGACCCCAAACCCTAAACCCTAAACCCTAACCCTAAACCCTAAACCCTAAACCCTGACTCTAAACCCTAAATCCTAACCGCAGCCTGATGACCTCCAGACCTGGTCAGTCAACAAGTCACTTCAACAGAAGCTGTCCGACAGAATGAAGTCGGCCAGAAGGTCTCAAAGATCCAGAGAAATTCAAGAACAGCTGACAAAGAAAGTAACTGACGTCTATCAGCCTGGACAGGGTTCTAGAGACGGTTCCTAAAGCTTCAGGTCTCCAGAGAACAACGCTGAGAACCATCATCCACACATGGAGAAACATGGAGCAGTGGTGGACCTTCCCAGGAGGCTGGCCGACCAGAATGACCCCAAGAGCCCAGCGACGACCTCCAGCTGAAGCCCACTTGGATAATGATCCAGAACACACCAGCAGGTCCACTTCTGAATGGCTTAACGAAACTAAACGAAGGTTCTGGAGCGGCCGAGTCAAAGTCTGGACCTGAATCTCACTGAAATGCTGCAGCATGACCTTCAGAAGGCCGTTCATGCTGGAAAACCCTCCAGTGGTGCTGAACTAAAACAGTTCTGGAAAGAGGAGTGGGCCAAACATCTCCAGAGATGTGAAGACTCGTCACCAGGTGTAGAAAACACTTGACGTCAGGTGTTGCTGCTGAGGGCGGCCCCACCAGGTGTTAGGTTCAGGGGCAGTTACTGTTCCACACGGGGCAGGTAGTTCTGAGGAGTTTGTTCTCCTTAATGAATAAAATCATCTAAAAACTGCATTCTGTGTTTACTTGGAGCATCTCTGTCGGATATTTACATTTGTTTGATGATCTTAAACACTGCAGTGGAGGAAATATGCCAAAAAATAAGAATTTGAGACTGAAACACTTTTTCACGGCACTGGACAGCTGTCAGGGTTCACACTGCATGTCAGAGAACATTTTCCACTGCAAGAACGGACAGGTTTAGGTTCCAACAGCAGGAACTGTCTCTGAAGAACCAAGCCTCATCAGAACCATGGCGATTAATCCATAAAAGAGTCACAAATCCAGATTTTACCACACAAAAGTGTCAAAACCTGTGATTTGAACCCAAAAAGATCAGTTATATAGATATTAACCCACAAAACTGTCAAACTCAGGATATGAACCCAATGAAGTGCTGAGTGCCTGGATGTCACCACTTAAAGCATGAAAACGCACAAGCGCCTAAAATCTGGATATTCACGTGTTGTGGCCTCAGAGCCAGTCGAGGCTGGAACATGTCATTCATGAACTAACGGTGGAAGCTGCTGGGTTCTGCAGAGGAGCCCGACGGGACCATCAGGAGTCTGATCCTGTAAACGCTCTTCTCAACACAGTTCCTGCAGTGGAAAGATGCCGAGCTCTACCCGTGGCCCCGCCCCTACAGGTGTGCGACCAGGTGTGAGCGTCCTCACCTCGTACTCCTCCTTGAAGCCGTAACCTTCGGCGCACTTCATCTGGGTGATGTGCTGCAGCAGGTCGGCGACCCGGATGGCCGGGTGCAGCTGACCTGTCTGGTAGGGCAGCGCCTCCCGCTCCGACTCGCGTTGCTTGTAGTGGGACTGGACCAGGCTACTGGTTTCACTGGTCATGGTGTGGCTGTCGTCTGGAGGAAGAGATACCACAGATTAGGGTTGGACCGGACAGGCACACATTCACAGCAAAGACATGACATTGGACCCGGCCCACATCTGTGAACAGAACTTGACAAACCGTCCAAACGGTTCTAATCTTTCAGTCTAGTTTCAGTTACTGTGAACTCCGGTACCTTGACTACAGGTGTTTTGTTGGATCTTCAGAATCTGGCCGACCCTGTACCTGATTCTGTTTTTAAGCAGTTCAGATCAGAGATCCCGTTGGTTCTGACAGGCCACACATTTTAGCGATTCTACTGTACACTCAGAACAATAAAGGTTCTCATTGGAAACAAAAATGGTTCCTTGGAGAAACTATTTTCGAGATAATTCTTTGTCCAAACCACTTGCACTCTGAAAAATCAACAAGCTCAATAGAACCAAAATTGGTTCTTCTGGGCGGCGCTACAGCTCACCTGGTTTAGGTGGAGGGTTAGGGTCTGGGTGTACAGACTGTATAGGGTCTGGGTGTACAGACTGTATAGGGTCAGGGTGTA